GATACGAGTAGATTAATTTACACTATTTTCTACTTCATTTTCTGAATAAAGATTTTACGTTTTTGTGTTAATAAAAAAAAACAATATCTAAATTTAATTTTAATTACTGTAGTATAGGAAATGTAACTATTTTTCCGGATTTAAATTGCGTATATTTGTTTTTTCAAACAAACCAACGTTTCGGGCCCTTTACAGGTACATGACCATGGGACCTGTAAATCGACGCGACGCGTCTTAAATCCGGAAAAATAGTTTCATTTCCTATGTGTAACAATTGCGAATACCTAAGAATTCGATACTGTAGTATACTTAATAACTCGTCAAATTATTTGGTAGAAAAGATTTAAGATTAAAATCCTAAATTTCGTAACGCAAGCCATAAAAATCACTCAGCAGATCAACTTACTCAGGGTGACGTGTATAGTGTCATTAGTCTCTCAAATCTTTACGATTTAAAGCCCCGAGCAGCACTGCAACTGCTATGAACAGGCGTGTCGCTATCACCACCAGGTATACGACTTGTTCGTTCTGTCACTTCGTATGATAAAAAAGCCATAGTTCTAAATAATATAATGCTGAACATAGGCCTCCCCCAAAGATTGAATTTTTTTTAAATTTTCTTTAAATTTCCACGTTGCACTGCCCCAATATTTTTTTTGTTATTACTCTAGATGGTTCTTTGTTTTGGCTATAGCTTTTGAACACCAGAGAAATTTTCTCTCTTGATTTTTTAATAAATTGTTTATTAGATCTTTGTGGACTTATATGTATCATCATCATCATATCCGCTGGAAAACGCCCACTGCTGAACATAGGCCTCCCCCAAAAATTTCCAGACCATCCGATCGGACGCGACGATGCATCGCATCCGTCGGTTATCCGCCGCCCTTACATGGTAATCGGTCCATCTAGTAGGGGGCCGTCCCACTGAACGCCTTCCGGTTCGTGATCTCCATTCGAGAACCTTTCTGCCGCAAGGGCCGTCAGCTCTACGACCTATGTGGCCTGCCCACTGCCGCTTGCTAATCTTTTGGGCTATGTCGCTGACTTTCGTTCTTCTACGGATCTCCTCATTTCTGATTCGATCACGTAGAGAAATGCCGAGCATTGCTCATAGTAAATGACTACTGCTCGAAACTTTTGTCTTCAAGGACTGCGGTACTGCGGACGGGAAGACGTCCCGGTGCTTCCCGAAAGCTGCCCAACCGAGTCGAATTCGACGGTTGACCCTTCCTCGAAGCTTGGTCTGCCTAATTTGACGGTTTGGGTAAAACATGGACATTCGACATAAGTTTCGTGTTGTCCATGTTCATTTTTAGATCCACCTGCTGAGAAACTTTATTGAGGTTACCGAGCATGGTGCCAAGCTCTTCCAATGATTCCGCCATGACCACGATATCATCAGCAAATCGAAGGTGAGTGATGTACTCGCCATTGATGTTGATGCCAAGTCCTTTCCAGTCCAGTAACTAGTAGGCATATTCGAATGCAGTGGTGACCAGTTTCGGAGAAATGACATCTCCATGTCGCATCCCTCTTTGCAATTATATAGATAAGCTTTGTGCACTGGTTTTGGAGTCAAACTGACATAGTGGCGTTTCTGTACAAACACTTCAACACTTCGATATATCGCTAGTCAATGTACCGTACAATGTAGGCACCGTTGTAGAGAGTGTAGCACCGCCCAAATCTTGATCGAATCAAAGGCTTTCTCATAGTCCATAAACGCTAAGCATAATGGCAGGTTATTCTCCTCGGTCTTCTGTATAACCTGACGCAGCGTGTGGATGTGGTCTACGGTACTGAAGCCTTTTCGGAAACCGGCTTGTTCCGTTGGCTGGAAGTCATCGAATCTGCGCGCGAGTGGGTTCGTGATGACTCATGAAAACAGCTTATAAATGTAGCTTAGAAGCGAGATGGGCCTGTAGTTCGTCAGTAGGGTGTTATCTCCCTTTTTGAAGAAGAGTATCATCTGGCTTCTATTCCACACTTCTGGTGTATAACCTTCGAGTAAGACTGAATTAAAGAGCCTCTGAAGGACTCTTAATACCGATGTTCCGCCCGTTTTCAGAAGCTCCGATGTATTCCGTATTTACCCGGTGCCTTGTTGTTTTTTAGATGTTTTAGAGCCATCCTAAACTCATACAGGCGGATGTCCGGGATATCTTCTGTATAGTGTCGGGTGAGCTAGGCTCTAGGATCTTTTGAATCAGTAACAGGCTGAGTAATCGAGGCATATAGTTAGCTATAGAACCTCTCGATTTCCCCCAGTACGTCTGGCTTGGACGACACAACGCTACCATCTTCCGTCTTCAGCTTTGTAAACTGACTTTGTCCAATAGACATGTCCCTTGCAAACACTTTGGAGCCCTTGTTCCGCTCTAGGTATCTTTAATATTGTTGGTATTAAAGACCTGTTTGTCGTGTCGCATGAACTTCCATATGTGTCTGTTGAGTTGTCTGTAGGCTTTAGTATCCTCTGAAGACTGTTGCGTCAGAGTGCGTCAATTTGCCATTAGTTTGAGAGTATGATCGGAGAGTTTATGTGGCCTGTCCTTACGGTGAGTCCTAAAGAATTTTCACCCAACAGTGTGGACAGTCTCTACCAACCTGTTGCTAATCTCGTCCACTGAGACGCAGTGTTGTAAACAGTCGAAACGATTTTGAAGTTTGAGCCGAAAATTTTCGGGGTCATTTACATGGGCACCGCTGGATCTCAGAGTAGACTTCATCAGTTGTGAACTCTCGCGTTTGACATCCATATTCAACAAGCCTCTTACCATGCTGTGATTGCTGCCCGTTTTCACCCTATTGATCACCGAAACATTGTTGAATATCTGTCTCTTGTCGGTCAATATGAAGTTTATCTCATTCCTTGTGACACCATCGGGACTTACCCAGGTCCATTTTCTTATAGGCGGCTTTTGGAAGAAGGAGTTCATCATAAAGAGTGCATTGCCGCATGCGTCATCGCCGGTACTCCGCCGTGGAACCTCGAAGCCGAGGTCCTGGCGAAGGTCCGCGCCTACCGGTGGGGAATGAGGGACTGGGGCGAGCGCCCCGCTCCTCAAGAGGTCGAACGGGAGCACCACCTCGCGAAGCAGCGCATGCGGGACCGGTGGAAAGAGGGCTTGGCGGATCTCCCCTATGGCGCCAGTACCATAGGGGCGAACCGCCCAGTCTTCGTAGAGTAGGTGAACCGGTCCCACGGGCCACTGTCGTATCACCTTATGTAGGTGGTGACCGGGCACAGCTGTTTTGGTCACTACCTGCACAAAGTGGCTAGAAGGGAACCGTCCCCGTCGTGTCACGAATGTGGCGCTGCTGATGACACCGCGCAGTATACCCTAGAGGTGTGCAGCCGGTGGGATGAGCAGCGCCGTATTTTGACGGAGATAACAGGGCAGGACCTCTCGCTGCCGGGCGTGGTTACCGCCATGCGCGGTAGTGAGGAGTCCTGTGAGGCGGTAGCCTCCTTTTGCGGAGAGGTTATGTGGTAAATGGAGGCCGCGGAGCGGGAGCGAGGACGCGGCGGATGCGCACCCGCTTCGGCGCAGACGCACGGGGAGAAGGCGAACGCAGTTCGCTGCTCGCTTGATTCCCTAGTGAGGCTAGCGGGGTCTGGACAGGAAACTCCGGAGCCTGCTTTGCACGGCTTCACTCGTCTGGGGAGCGGGAGACAACCGACCCACCCCTCGAGCCATAGCGCAAGCTAGGGCGGCCGGGCGGCGTCGTGGTGAATAGAGTCCCCACATAACCAAATACCCCTGAGTCTCCCTGGACTCAGGGGTATTTATAAAGATCTCCCCCCATAAAAAAAGGCCAGAGTCGTTCGACCGTCGAATCCCACCCGGAGATTAGAACCCCTGGTGCCAGAGCTTCCAAGACGTCCGTCAGCGCCGCGGTTGCTACTGGCACCGCCGGGCACTTGGGGATAATTTTCTGTGGTATTCATTTGGGGGGTTTAGATCATTTCCCCGCCACGCTGGTCCATTGCGTGTTGCCGGGTCACCAGACCCTAGTCGGTAGGAGTAGGGTGTACTGCGTGCAGGTGAGGTTGACTATTGAGCACCGTAGGTGTTAGGTGGCGCCCCTTACACCCCGAAATAATAGGAAATACATTCTTTTAATTGCACGATAAAACGTTATAGCTTTTAAGATGGGTATCCATCTAGCGTATGAACGAAAGTAAAACGAAAGGTAAAAATTACTTCACAAAGAAGCAGTAGACTGTCTTTGTACACTCCCAATCACTACAACAAGCAAGCAACAAACACACCTGAACAAGAACTACTAGTGTCCATCTACGAAATCATGAAGAGAAAATTTACACATCAAATCGCTACATACGTAAGATAAATATATAAATAGACTAGCACAAATCTGTCAGTGAGAGGTAAAGGACCTTAAGTGCATATTTTGGAATTTAGATGTTTTAATGGTTTTAACAAACATTGCTTTAGCATACTAATAACGGAAAGTGAGTAAAATCCAATAAATCAGATTCATTTCCTAATTCATCCCGACGGCGGGTTTTTTTTATTGCCATTATTGCCAGCTATTCTTCAATAGATAATACAACTCGAACTAAACGTTATAAAAGGCACAGCCAGACGCATGCAGCCACAATGTATTATAAGTTAGATTTCCAAGTTCTAAAAAAAACTGCAGTATTTAAATTCACAAAATAAATTTAATAAAATATAGTTACATATTTTTGCGAAATATACTTTTAAATTTTTCGAGAACAAAACTTGTTTTGCTTAATCTTGACTTAAAAAATCCATAGGGCGATAATGTAATGACAAAACCCGTAGACTTGCCTGCATTCATGACACTGTTTACGAGCAAGTGTGATGAAAAGGTTCTTTACCTCTCACCTACAGAAATATACGTTCATTGCCTACTGTATACTTTCAATACTATTTTATTATGAAAAGGCATAACGTACCTACAACAAATTAGTTTCTCAAATGGAAAAGATAAATTAAAATCCATACCAAAAAATTACTCCAAGAAGAAAGAAACATATAACTGAGGAAAACCTGTCGATTATCAATTGCCATTTCCCATTTTGATTTCTCAAAAAGCTGCACTGCGAAAGGCTTAAACTTTTAGCGTAAAGCTGAAAATAAAACAATAAACACATTATGTAGGGAAGACAGACTTGCGATGGACTTTTTTATTTTTATAATAAGGAAAATATTTTTTTTTAACTAGGTACTTGTTTACAGATACTAGTAAATAATACTGAATAGTATTCTGCCCTCCTTACCACAACTAATGTAATCGACATTTTTAATGAAATTATTAACATATCTGGAATCGGCAAAACGAGATCTACATTCCCCTATGAGCGGTTTTTTGATATCTTATGTAGTTTCAGTTTCATTGTTAATCAAAATCAGTGTTATTTATATTTTTGCTACCAAAAAGATAACGACGTGTATTTAAAATGATAATATTAAATTTGCAAAAGCAGCAGGCCAAAATATTTAAACGGTGGGTGATCTTTTTTAGTGGTTGATCTCTTTCTCTGAGACATGAAATAAATTAAATCAATGGATATTTTAATCTGTTCTGAGCTACACAAAAGATGTTTGACTTGTATAAATAGTTTTATGCTGGGCCTCAAAACTAAGACAAATGAGCAATGAAAAATTTTTATCACTTCTGGCGATTACTTTATATGGCCCGATGAACGCAGGTGTGAGGGAACCTCGTGATGTATCATCTCGTAGGAAAACATGATCATAGGTTTCGAGTTCCTTGTGAATAAATACTCTGGGCTTACAATGGCGTGATGCAGGCATAGGTCGCAACTTCTCCGCAAAGTTTCTAAGCGTAGCCGAGAATTCAGACACGTCTGTCGTACCGCTAACAGTCGGTTCAAAGAACTCGCCAAGTAGTCTTAACGGCTCTCCGTAAACGTGTTCTGCAGAGGAAGGTTGAATGCTCTCTTTAAAGGCGGCACGTATACCAAGCAGGACTCATGGCAATGATTCAGTCCATCTATCGTTCGCATGGCACACGATCGCTTCTTTGTTGTCGATGGAACGTTCAACTAGACCGTTGCAAGCTGGATGATAAGCAGTTGTTCTTTTATGCACGAATTCTGCTATCTTACATAGGCATTGGAACAGGGCCGATTCAAATTGCCAGTCACGGTCTGTTGTAATGTCTGTCGGACTACCGAACCGGGCAATCCAGTTGGATAGCAAGGCTTTTACGAAATACCTCCTGCGGAAACATCTTCTATCGATATTGCCTCTGGCCATCGAGTGAAGCGATCTATTGCCGTTAAGCAATACCGGTAACCATGCGAAAGGGGAAGGGGGCCAATTAGGTCAATATGAATCTGTTTGAATCGAGCACGCGGGAGGTTAAAAATACCAAGAGGAGAAGTCACGTGACGATTGACTCTTGCATCTTTTGCACGCTGGCACGGTAAACACGAAAGCGCCCACTCCCGATAGTCCTTTCTCACACCTGGCCAAATGAAGCGCTCATATACCAGCTTGGCGGATGCAGTAGAGGGGTAACTCAATGAGTGCAGACCATGAAAAACTTGGCTTTCGAAGCAATTTTGGGACGTAAGGAAATTAATGTGCTGACGTCGCAGTACAAGGGAACTCGGCTTCCAGGAACGTGAAGTTTTTGAAACTTTAGTGAAGAGCCTTTACTCGAGTTCAAAGTCAGTCTTGATTTTGAGCTAATATCTCAAGGCTGACAGGTGCTCCCAGTTCTTCGATCTACGGCAAGGCGTCGGCAATTACGTTATCTTTGCCGGATATGTGACGGATATCGGTAGTGAACTGAGATATGAAGTCAAGATGTCTATAGTGCCTAGGAGTACAGTTGTTTTTCCTTTCGTGCAAAACTGATGGGCTTGTGGTCGGTATACACTATAAAATGGCGGCACTCGATCATACGTCTCAAATATTTTACGGCCTCGTAAATGACTAGTAATCACTAGTAGTCACTTTCGTAGGGCGAGTACTTGGTCTGTGAGGGGTCTGGTTACTTGGTCTGAGTTTCCACGAGAAAAACGTCAATGGGTTCGATACGTTATCCTTATGCTGCTGTAAGGCGATTGACGAGGACAGCAGTGCGCACGTCAGCAACCCGTACTCGCTCATCTGCACCTGGGAACACTTTTATTATTATGCCTTTTGGCCAGATGTTGCTGGGTAATCCGGGGTCGACGATGATGACCACGTCGCCTTCTTTCAAATCCCGTCTCTCGAGGACATGTTCTCTGGGCAATAGTGTAGGTAAGTACTCGCGGACCCAACGACTCCAGAAGACGTCGGAAAGTCTGTGCCCTTCGCCATTGTTTTCGCGTAATCATGTCATCCCCATTGAAGGTTCCGAAATGTGGCACGTTGCTCGGGCCTCCAAGGAGCAGATGATTCGGCGTTATCGCGTCGTAGTCATCTGGTCGCACCGACACATGGGTGAGTGGACGGGAGTTCACCGTGTACTGCTTCTACCAGCCTGTTCTTAAAACTTCTTCGGTGGGAAATTACTCTTAAAGGGTGATGCTGATTGCTCTTTCAATAGATCAGATCAGCCTTTTCCCAAGAGCCTCCCATATGGGGTGAAGCGGGTGGTATGAAGTTCCAATTAATGCCTTTGTTGAGAAGGAAGTCCTTGATCATCCCTCGATCTACTTCCTTGACAGCCTTTTGGAGTTCTGTGTTGGCACGGTGGAAGTTTGTTCCGTTATCAGAGTAAATTACCTCAGGTGGTCCTCTGCGGACATCATTCTACGTAGAACGAGGATGACCGAGTCAGTAGATAGCGACGCCACAAGCTCAACGGGTAAGGCTCTCCTAGTCATACAGGTGAAAAGGGCGCCGTACCGTTTTTCGTACATTCTGCCATTTGTCACCCACATAGAGCCCAAAATAATCCAGCCCGCAACTAATATTTTGAAACAGATTGAGCTTCCTCTTTCAAAAATCTGACAGCATGACAAGCTCAGGTTCATTAACGTGTTCGTGTTCTATAGCGTATGAAATCCAACGTGTCTTTCAAGTGTGAGATTTTTTGTTTCAGGTTCCTTAAAAGTTCAGTGTTCATGAGGTGTTTCGGTTTGTTAAGGGCTTTTATGGTTGAGAGACAGTTTCTTACCTTGCATGCGAATTTGCTAAGCTGCTCTGTGTTGTCGATCAGTCTGGGTAGGTCTTTGAGCACCTGAATTTCCTCTTGTAATATTAGCTCTGGAAGACCGAAGCGTAACTCTAGAGCTTCCATTTTCTCACTGGGCGGAACTTGAGTGTCTAAAAGCGCGGCGACAGTCACGCGAGCTTCGCCTTTTAGACAACGTCGGAATCTGGAGATAAGCTCGTGTTCGGCAAAAGTAGCTTTAATTTCCGTAACGGCAGCTTTGAATGAATGCCACTCGCTGACATTTCCATTGTAATACGGCAATTCTTTCGTTTCGGAGGGACGTCGCAGATTTGCAATCTCTCGTGCTAGTAGTTGTATATCACTGAGCTCAGTGTGTGTACATTTATCTTTCATTAATTCAGTTCGTTCATTTTGTTCGGCATTCTGCTTGCGTTCTTTAGGGATCTACATCGGGTGATCAAGGAGTTCATTTTATACGTTTGGATGGAATTCCGTCGATGACCACTCCTGAACGCGACTTCGACTCGATCGGCTTGATCCGGTCCGGAAAACTCCACTTTTCACTTGACATGTATATGTATAGAACTTAGACTATGGAAACTAAAGGACATGTTACGTTGACATATATAAATCAGACGTTACATGTATATGATGCATTTCGAAGTCGAAAATCGTTATTGTCTTTGTTTAACTATTACGTGCCGTCTTAAGCCAAAAGAGCATTACATTGGTCTGTGTCAATCACGGGAATCGAAAATACGTAACGTCATCTTAAATGCCAACCGTGTCCATTTCGCAGTACATGAGGTACATGATACCTTTGTCAAAGTACATCAAATGTCAAAACAAATGTTTTTCCAAATGTACTATTGAATTATTCGCATGTTAAATTGGACAAAAATATTGACAGCGAGTACAATTATTCTCAGGTATTAATAAAAATGCAACGCTGCAGCATTAAGGGATGGAAGGGACTTTTTGTAAAGCCAAAAAATTCAAATCAATCGAATATTACATTGCACAGGCATTGTTATTTTTTTCTCTATAAATCACACAATAGCCCTAATATTTCATGTAATTAGACTTATTTAAGTAGTTTGTTTATAAATCTTGCCAAATTTTGCTTTTGTTACTTTAGATTGCCTGTTTGTTTGTAGATTTTGATGATTGTTGTTAACGATTATTTTGAGCTAGTGTTGATCTTGTAAGCATTCATATTATCGATATTCTGTTATTAAAACAATTCACTACGAGGTTCTCTCTCTAAGGTACTCGTTTCTTATTTTTCCCAATGACAACTCTAACTATTAAAAATTACTATTTTTTAAAGTCTGTAATACAATGATATGTTAGTCCAACGTTGCCGGGTAAAGGCCAATACCAAGGTGTAGACAGCCTATTTGCCTTGCCTTGCCATCGTTCGGTGTCACTCGCCTAGCTAACTGAGTGAAGGCGAGCGCCAACGTGTATAGAGTTAATTTGGCTTATCTCAAATCAAAGGCGCTCGGCCAATAGTGTTCAAAGGTGCACAACAGTGTGGTGACTATTACTAAAGTTACCAGTTAAAATTGCTTGATAGATTGATTTGTTTAAGAAAGCCAGTAACGCGAATACTAGAATCCGCAGAAACCTGAATAGACTTGTACTTGACAGTTAGTTAAAAGACGATATGTAAATATGTACTAAAATGTAGGTTAAAGGCGTACCTCTTAAAGTAATTTTTATATTTTATTTATAAGTACAATTAATACTATGTAATGTTATATACCAGTAAAGTAGGTATGATTAAGTAAGAATGCGCAAGTCGCCAACAAACTGCACAGAAGTTAAGCACAGTTTGGTGGCTTACTAAATAAATAAGTTACCAGTTGTAATCTTATAAATTTTAAAGTTTAAAAATTTGTGTTGACATTTATAATAATATACCACTCGAGATTAAATTATTAGACTTGTGTTTATTTAGGCATACTTTGGTTACAGTAAACTAAAGAAACAAAAAAAAACGGTTTCAACATTCAAGCCATACATTTACATGTCGATAATTACTTATCGATAGATTATTAAAGAAATCCGCCTTTTGTAACTTTCAAATTTTGGTTATATGCACGTTGATTCTGTAGTTAGGGCAGCTCCTTTCTTTTATTTTTTTCCATCCTCTGAGGTATAGAACGATCAACATGACAACCAAACAAAGAAAAAAAAATTATAATAAATATTATAATATACGAAGGAGTCCGTAACAGTGCTGATGTTAAAGACGAGCGAAAACATAATTAAATTGTGTGGTATCGTTGGTAATTCCGGATATCACGAATTGTCCTTCGACTTGAGCGAACCTTATCCCGGCTCTTCCGCTCGGAATGGTGACACGCTAACTTTAAAAACAACAACTGGTTTATCGATACTGTCCCATCACTAGTTTCGGGCGGTGCGGTCGGCCCAACGGCATCTTGAAAATCCTTATCCATGCTCTTTCTCGGGGTCATCAGTGTGGTTATTTATATAGTCATTCTATATTGTAGATAGGTATCAGATTATGCCACGCAGGTATATATCCACCAGGTATTGTAAATAAAAAGATACAACTCACAATAATTACGATGATATGATTTAGAATATACCTATGTACCTATCTAGAATATAAAATAACTATATAAATACCACACACCCTTTGTGTAATGAGGACACGTGCAAAATGACAATTTTTTTGGAGTGAAGTTAACGAAATTAATCGACAACTTTTTTATGCTTCAATAGAAAAGTTCTTTAGATTCACTTTTAGTAGCAGTAGAGCTCCTTGTAAAAGAGTTCGTTCAGAAAAGTACTGCCAATTTCTGTTCATATATAATTCTGTGCCAAGCAATGTGAGCATTACTGCGTTCCGGTTTTGAAGGGTAAGAGTGCTGGTGAAATTACAGGCGCAGTGGCAGTACCTCTCAGATCTTTGCGATTTAAAGCTCTGAGTGGCACTGCAACTGTTAAGGACAGATGTGTAGCTTACCACCAAGCACACGACTTGTTCGTCACTTCATATTATAAAAAAAAATGTTTCATGTAGTGCGTATTATTTTTATTATTTTCATATGATGTAACTATTTTGGACGTTATCTAAAAAGACAACATGTGGCTTTATTATACCGAGGTTACGACTTAATATTTTTGTACCGTTTGTTACACTGACGAAAAAAAATGTTATAGGAAATTGCACACATTGTTATGGAATTGTTATTGCAATGACAAGCATAGGCTTGACAATAAAACCTTTGTTAGGGGAACTATATATACCTCGTGTAGTTTTATTACTGACACAAGCTGGAAAAAAGCTGAATTACGAAAACCATTAATTTTATACTAACCATATGCAATTGTTCTATAGTAGGTTTATTGTCCAAGGGTAAAAAATTTGGTAACCAGCACGTGATTATTTTGGTAGCATTCAGGTTATTATTGGCATCCCAAGAAAACTTCACACATTTTGTCATGTAATAATGGCTAGCTCCAAACATGATCAGTATAATAGATAATTGCCATTTTAAAATCTAAAAACACGCTTTTATTAAAATATATGAAGTTAACGCTAAAGCTACATGCGTAAAATGACCTTGATTGTTACCTAAATAACGAGTAAAAATAAGCCTTTTTGAACTTAATAAGAATAAATTGCTACTATTGGTGATTTGTAGGAAAAATTGGTGGATGCTATTTTTTATTCACTACGTTTCTTACTCAGCAGCTCTTCCAGGTTTTAAAAAGAAAATGAGTTTTCGTCGAGTCATCGCTGCGGAAACTCATGATTAAGGACCACGAACTGGTTCGAAACATGTCGGAAAAAAATTCAACTTAAATACATGAGTTATTCGTTAGTTAATAGCTCTTACGGATTGTCCTGATCAATGATATTTATAGTGAATATTGAAACGATAAATGTATACAGACGTTTGTTTACACAGAGCAACCTCTTAGAGTTTCTTACTCGTTCGTCTCTGGGAAATCTGCAGAGTTTAATCAATGTGAGGATTTCAGGTGCAATTCGCTTAACGATGAAATAAAGATGTATTTGACTTTAAAGGGATAGCGCTGTTGTCGTTTGGGTGTTTTTTTAGTTAATCGAATCTTTGACATGATCCGATGACGCCAGTAATGTGAACATTAGTGCGTTCCGGTTATGAAGGGTAAGGGTGCTGGTGGTTATGAGACTCGAGTTGACGGGCGCAGTGGCAGCACCCCTCTGATCTTTGTTATTTAACGCTCTGAGTGAAACAGCAAGCGTGTCGCTTACCATCAGGCGCATAAATTATTCGTCCTGTCACTTGATATAAAAAAATGTAAGTTTAGACCTGAAGTAATAAAGACCATGGAACTAACCATCAAGTATGCGGCATTAACCGTTGGTTGGTTAGCTTCATATTCAAACAGTCCTATTACTAGATATATGTGTGCCAACTTGCACAACGTTTGACACAAAAACACAAAGTTGTCAGAAGGGTCATGTAGTACGAGATTTGCCAATAGAGCATGGACTGGGAAACTTGCTATGACATCCAAAATAAATCCGCGTGATATGTAATGGAGTATACATTTCCTTTTCGCGCTAATAATCAATCCTTGTTTGTTATAATATGGTAACTGTAAAGCAGTAATTTAAAAAAGTTGACAAAGAAGAATAAACAAACATCATATACAAGAATAGATAAAAAAAATAGATAAACCGCCCTTGCACACAATAGTTTTAAACTGGAATGAAACTATTTTTCCGGATTTAAATCGCGTATATTTGTTTTTACAAACAAACCGACGTTTCGGGCCCTTTACAGGTCCCATGGTCACGGTTGACTGTGAGTTTTAAACTGTCTATGTAATGTTTTGGTTCTTGTGTGTGAGCAATACAGTCAATTATAATACAATATCTATCTGTCTATGTAAACAATAATAATAGTTGCAGAGTGACGACATGATGTGTACTGCGAGCAAACTGCGATTACGAGAACACAAAGTTTTTAGAACTAGGTACTTAGAAACAACAAAAAAACTCCATTTTGAAAATAAAACTTTTCGTCGCATACCTACATTTCAATCGTTTATCATTAGTTTTTATAAATAGGCGGCCAGTTGAAAACTGTTTATTTCACATCAACTTGTAGTTAAATAACTTGAAAAAGTTAAAGTTTGGCAGTTAACATGAAATTTAAGAATCGCTTGCACTTTTATGATGAAGCTTCATCCTATGCCACTGTTTTATCTGGTTTAATGACTTAAAACGTGGTCGCAATAGTTTTTCTGACGCTATGTATAGTGTTGGAACGAGTTTACTAAACCCGTCGCTTAGGCATTGGTATATTTATACCTTACTACCTACTTGAGCTCAAGTGCAAAAAATTCTTTATTAAAATTTAACAATCACGAAGCTTCGTGTTTGGTTGATACCTTGTAAGTACAAACATTCTATGGAGATTACCCATTTCATCTGATATAGTCACGGTAGACGAAAGCTGGATGTACTGTTACGATCTAGAAACTAAAGGACTGTCTGCTTAATAGTATTAATAGTGTTTCCTTTGGCAGAGTTGCCTACGAAACGTAACGCGAGATCGAATCATGGGAAATAAAATGGTAGCTTCATTCATCTGATGGACAGATCATTATAAACCTATCGCATTAGAAGATAAAAAGCTGTTACTACAGAATGGTACTCTAACAACTGTTTGCCTCGAGGTTTGAAAAAAGTTGGGGAGAAATGACCTCGCAGTAAGATCATGCTTCATCATGATAACCAGACCATCAACTGACTATTTGACAATATCAGGTGCGGACTATTCTGGGTCACCGGTAGGGCACGACTAGCGCGAGAGCGACCATAAAGCACGAGATACTGCTATTCTCACATAGAGATCACGCACTTTATGTCGCTCTCGCACAAGTCGCATCTTATTATTCTAGCCCTAATGTCATACAATCAGAATAGTACACCATGCGATTTTTATTCTCATATATTTCGAGTCAGCTCTTATGGATGCGTCACCAACCACCGATGACATCGCGCGCAATCCTCCGACACACGCCGCCGGTCTCTCCGCATCGTTGGTGGAAACTTCACTCGTATGCACGACAACCTATGCTCGCATGCATGCGCTGCAGTAGTGTTACAACCATAGATATACAAAAAAAGGGGAGATATGGTATAGGCCTTGTTCGCGTCACCTCGATATGGTCAAAATGACCTCGATATGGTCAAAATGACCATATCGAGGTGACACGCCTACAAACATCGCCACAGTGACATGGTGTTCGTTGTACATACAAGATCTCTCGTAAAACGTGAAAATGCCAAGTTGTCGCGATAAACTGACTTCTTATAAAACTGACACTGGTCCAAGCCTAGTGGCTGCCATTAAGAAAATAATAATAATTTATATTAATATATTATCTATTGAAATATTGTAATATAACTCTTATTGAAATGTCTATAAGTTTAATTTTCTTAAATTTTAAAATTGTTTTACGTCGTTTTCACGTTTTAAGCCCTACCCAATAAAAATCTTTAAGTTATGGTAGTAGATAATAGAGAGTAAAGTTTGAATTGCACACAAACTAAAAAGTGGCGACATCGGCACCCGATCTTACATAGCGTCATTACATATCTCCCCTTTTTTTCTATATCTATGACGCAGACTAATTAACACCTTACAGTGCGTTAATTTACTTATAAATCATATCCAAAAGTTCTAACACTTACAAATAACTTAATACAGATGTCAATAATACCAATGATGTCACAGAAAAGGGTAACTAGATGCAGGTGCTTTTTATAATATGATCCGCTACCACCTGCAAAAAACAATTTTACTTTTTGTATCGAATTTTTCGTACCAAATAAAAGATGTTTTGAACTTCGAAACACGCGGCGTTACACTGCAGAGCACTGATAAACTGCAAACATAGGAGCCCTGTACGATGGGATCAGCCTCGGCTTGCGGGGTGTGATCGGATTTAGATTACAGGGTGTGCTAATGCTGCGGGACGTACCCGAAGCTTTCTTACCACGATATGATATCTGTTTATTTTCTCGATATCATCTATATATCATATATCAGAACGGTTACACGCTTCATAGTCACGGGTTGATTGAGCAATCTACCCGTGACCATGGAATGTGTAAGTAACCGTTCTAAAATATCGAGAAAAAAAATCATATCGTGTTAAATAATAACAAACCTGAAATTAATGATAATCATTGGAAACAACAACGTATATATCTTATTTTCCTCTATATCGGGAAGTATTATTTACATTTTTAACAGTTGTGAGATCTTTTACTTGTAATAGAGCCTCCATATACTAACGTACGGTGGCGTGTGTATTAGTACTATGTAATTACTGTGGATTATCGCGGCTTAGCCGCGAGCGAGCGGCGAGGACACAAAGCCTACGTCAAGAGCCAAGAGCTAGTAAAGGTAATTTTTAACAAAACTGCACTATTTACCTTGTACAGATGCACATATTATTGATAAGAAAATTATGCACACCCTAAACCTCATCCACCATCGAATGAAGCTGAAAAAGAAATACAATATTAATATTTTTAATGTTTTACCTTGATAACATTTTCATTTTATGTTGCATTGTTTATGTAGTTTTCGAAAGTAATCTAGAAGTTTTTTAAAAGGTACACTACAAAGTCGGGAAATGGACATCATCTCAAAATCCTTATATCAAATTTACATAGCCACGGAACGGAATGGAAGCGAATTTTCGTAACTAATTGTATATTTAGGAAATGGAACTATTTCTCCGGATTTAAATCGCGTATATTTGTTTAAAAAAAAAATACGCGATTTAAATCCGGCAAAATAGTTTCATTTCCTATGTGTAACAATCGCGAAAACCTAAGAACTCGAATTATATATTATTATAATATAATGAATTTTATATGAATTGTGTAAAGTACAAACTATACTCTAGCCAAATTCAATATAAAATAAATGTCAACAATTACATTATGATTTTTAGTGCTTTCACCTCAGACGTATACCACAATTACCATAATTAATTACTTATACAGTTACTACAACTTGAATGTTTTTCCCCGAAAATCTGACTAGGCTATTCATAAAACAAACTTGAAGTCATGTCTGTGATGAATTTCGTTCAATACAAGTTTCTAATCACTATTGTAAATGATTTGAAATTAACGTAAAAATTACCAGTAATCAATTATTTACTATTTACTTTTATCAATTATTTACTATTAATCCTAAATTATCTGATTAGAAGGGAGAGATTGGAAACATTTTGAGTTCAATTAGTAATTCAAGTTCAGAATCGGAAGTTGGTGTTGGATGAATACGTTGTCAATAAATATAAAATAAAATCTTACAATTTTTTTCTTTTCATCTTGACTAGGTAAGTATTGCTTCTACATAAACAAATTATCCATTTAGCTATTTAAATTCCAATCCGGCATGGTAACCGTTCGGCCACGGAGGCAGTCATTGGTTGCCTAGCAACGTTATGTTATTAAACATTCTATATCGAATTTGACTAGAGTATGTTAGATACGTTACGGTAGCTACGCGAATTTCCGAAACTGCGTTGACTTGCTTTTTGACTCGTATGTAAGTTCATTATGCTATAGTTACGAAAATTCGCTCTCAATCCTTTTTCCGACAATGTAAATGGAGTCATCTTTTTTATGTGAACCCCTATATATAAATACGACAGTGCCGATTATTAACGCCATTTAAATTCACTATTATACAAACATTGATTCTGGATTCATCATATAGTCTAAGAATATTGATTTAGGTTTATAATTCATCTCGAAATTCACCAACGCCGTCGGTATAGATAAATGTTTGCCCAAAAATATACACCGGCGTTGATTTTTATAAAACTGAAAAGAAAAAATATTGAGATTATTATGGCTTTTATACGACTTAAAATGTCTATTTCATTACTAATTTTTAAATAACGTGATGGACACTTTTATACGCAGGTGTTTTAATAAATCTATGCACTCACAGGCGAGGGTCTATGCCGTAGTCCGCCACGATGGCCTTACGCGGGTTGAGGACATCACACGTATTCCGAGGGTTGTGAACCTTTTTCGACATGCAGTTCTCATCACAACTTCTTCCTTCACCGGAACGCTCATGGAAATCAATCCTCATCCTCATCAACTTCGAGAAACTCAAGGTGCAAGTCCAGATCCGAACTCACGGCCTCTTCTTGAGAGTTGGTAGATGAAACCATTCGGCTGTCAGTGCGTCTTTTTTTATGATATCAAATGACGGAAGGAACAAGTCGTGCGCCTGATGGTAAGTGACATGCCTGTCCAAAACAGTTGCAGTGCCACTCAGAACTTTAAAACACAAAGAGCTAAGGGGCACTACCACTGCACCCGTCACCCCGATATAGGTTGGATAAGTGCCATGAGTCACAATTGATTTTCAATTTTCTCGAATGTCACTTCTACGTGATACGCCTTTGTTACACAATGCTTCAATTTCACCAGCACCCTTAACCTTTTAAAACCGAAACGCAGTAATGCTCATATTACTACTTGGCGGCAGAAATAGGTAAGGTGTTAGTACTTCCCTAGATGAATTCTTTCACGAGGAGCTCTACTGCTAACAGGTCGTAAAATTAAATAAAAAATAAATCTCAAGTATCAAGCTTAATAATTTCTTGACCATATACATATGTGGGGTGTAAGGGGCGCCACCCAATACCTGCGGTGCTCAATAGCCAACCTCACCTGCACGCGGTACACCCTGCTTCTACCAACGAGGCCCAATGTACACACACACAGGAAAGTATCCCCAAGTGCCCGGCGGCGCCAGTAGCAACCGAGGCACTGACGGACGTAGTGGAAGCTCTGGCACCAGGAGTTCTTATCTCCGGGTGGGATTCGACCGTCGAACGACTCTGGCCCTGGCAACGTACAACGCACGCGCACTGCGGTCGGACGAGAGGATCGTCGAGCTGGAAGAGGAGGTGGACAAGTTGCACTAGGATATCGTGGGCCTATCGAAAGTCCGTAGAGAGGACAAGATAGCCCTGAAATCCGGAAACTTGTTCTACTTCAGGAAAAGTGACTATCAGTCCCAGGGTGGTGTCGGGTTTATCGTCCATATATCCCTTATTGGCAACATTACAGCCATCGGGAGTGTGTCGAGCAGGGTTGCGTACCTTATACTCAGAGTATCCAAGCGCTACTCGCAGAAGGTCATACAGATCTACGCACCGACCTCGACACACCAAGATGAGGAGGTAGAGGCTATTTTTGAAGACATAAGTCAAGCCTCCTCATAAACAATACCTCCCAAACACACTTCAATGTTGTCATGGGGGACTTCAACGCCAAACTGGGCAGTCGAATGGTTGAGGAGCCGAGAGTGGGGAAATTTGGTTATGGGCAGCGAAATTCCAGGGGCCAAAGGCTGGCCGACTTCATGGAAGAGGAGAGACTCTTCATGATGAACTCCTTCTTCTAAAAACTGCCTCAAAGGAAATGGACCTGGTTAAGTCCCGACGGTGTCACAGGGAATGAGACTAGACTTCATATTGACCGACAAGAGATAGATATTCAACAATGTTTCGTTGATCAATAGGGTGAAAATTGAAGGCGATCACAGCATGGTAAGAGGCTTGTTGAATATGAACGTCAAACGCGAGAGTTCACAACTGATGAACTACTCTGTGATCCAGCGGTGCCCAAATAAATGACCTCGAAAATTTTCGGCTCGAACTTCAAAATCGTTTCGACTGCCTACAGGACTGCGTCTCTGTGGACGAGATTAGCAACAGGTTGGTGGAGACTGTCCCACACGGTTGGGTCAAAATTCTTCAGGACCCGCCGCAAGGATAGGCCGCAGAAACTCTCCGATCATACCCTTAAGCTTATGGCAAGTTGACGCAATATGACGCTGCAGTCCTCCGATAAGGTTAAAGCCTACAGAGAGCTCAATATACACATATGGATGTCCATGCGATACGACATACCGGTCCTTAATACCAATAATATTAAAGATACCATAGAGCGGAACAAGCGCACCAAAGTGTTTGCAAGGGACACGTCTATTGGGCAAAGTCAGCTTACAAAGCTGAAGACGGAGGATGGCAGCGTTGTAACGTCCAAGCCAAAGGTACTAGGGGAAATCGAGAGGTTTTATGGCCAGCTATATGCCTCGATTACTCAGCTTGTTGCTGATTCTAAAGATTCTAGAGCCAAACTCACCCGACACTATACTGAGGATATCCCGGACATCGGCCTGTACGCGATTAGGATGGCTCTAGAACAGCTAAAAAACAACAAGGCGCTAGGTGAAGAGGAATTACATCCGAGCTTCTGAAAACGGGTGGAACATCGGTACTAAGAGTCCTTCAGAGGCTTTTTAATTCAGTCTTGCTCGAAGGTTATATATACATAGGTGGAATAGAAGCGTGGTGATATTCTTCTTCAAAAAGAGAGATAACACTCTATTGAAGATCTACAGGCCCATCACGCTTCTAAGCCATGTTTCTAAGCTGTTTTCACGAGTCATCACGAACCGTCTTGCGCGCACATTCAATGACTTCCAGCCCCACGAACAAGCCGGTTTCCGGAAGGGCTTCAGTACTATAGACCACATCCACACGCTGCGGAAGGTTATACAGAAGACCGAGGACCATAACCAGCCATTATGCTTAGCGTTTGTGGACTATGAGAAAGCCTTTGATTCGATCGAGATTTGGACTGTGCTACAGGCTCTACAATGGTGCCACATTGACTATCGATATATAGAAGTGTTGAAGTGTTTGTTTAAAAACGCCACTATGTCAGTTCGACTCCAGGACCAGTGCACAAGGCCTATCCAATTGCAAAGAGGAATGCGACAGGGAGACGTCATTTCTCCGAAACTGTTTACCACTGCATTGGAAGATGCCTTCAAGTTACTGAACTGGAAAGGACTCGGCATCAACATCAAAGGCGAGTACATCGCTCACCTTCGATTTGCTGACGATATCGTGGTCATGGCAGAATCGTTGGAAGAGCTTGGCACCATGCTCGGTAACCTCAATAAAGTTTCTCAGCGGGTAGGTCTAAAAATGAACATGGACAATACGAAACTAAGTCGAATGTCCATATCGTATCCACCTCTATAACAGTGGGAACCTCTACTCTCGAAGTTGTTGACGAGTATGTCTACCTCGGACAAACCATCCAATTAGACAGGGCCAACTTCGAGAAAGAGGTTAATTGTCGAATCATCCGGGACGTCTTCTCGTCCGCAATACCGCAGTCCTTAAAGACAAAAGTCTTCTAGCAGTGCGTGTTGCCATCGATGGTCTACGGCTCTGAGACGTGGCCACTTACTATGGGCCTCATAAAAAAGCTCAAAGTCAGTCAACGAGCTATGGAGCGAGCAATGCTCGGCATTTCTCTACGTGATCGAATCAGGAATAAGGAGATCCGTAGAAGAACGAAAGTCACCGACATAACTCGAAGGATTAGAAAGTTGAAGTGGCAGTGCGCAGGGCACATAGCTCGTAGAACTGACGGCCCTTGGGGCAGAAAGGTTCTTGAATGGAGACCGTGAACCGGAAGGCGTTTAGTGGGACGGTCCCCTACTAGATGGACGGATGACCTGGTAAGGGCGGCGGATAACCGACGGATGCGATGAATCGTCGCGTCCGATCGGCTGGTCTGGAAATTTTTGGGGGAGGCCTATGTTTAGCAGTGGACATCTTCCAGCTGATATGATGATGATGATACATATAAGTCCACAAAGATCTAATAAACAATTTATGAAAAAAACCAGACAGAAAATTTCTCTGGTGTTCAAAAGCTATAGCCAAAACAAAGAACCATCTAGAGTAATAACAAAAAAAGTATTGGGGCAGTGCAACGTGGAAATTTAAAGAATATATATCAAGGAACACTAATATGAATAGACGAATCCCGATCAACATTTGCGTAGTTAATACATAATCAAGATTGATAAGTCCTTTGTCAGCAAAATCAATACGATAATAAAAAAACATGCACGTGAGATTGTCTACAAATTTCTGTAAAATGTAATAAGGACTGACTACAGACATATATCTAGATAGACGCCGCAAGTACAGCAATTTGTATGAAAACCAAGCGTGCCACATTTTTGTACCCACTATGACGTCACAAGAACTATTTAGTGATGGAAACCGCCTCCCGCTCGCTCTAAATCGATTGATTGAACGGAATACGCGTAAACACGCGTATTCCATTCCATAAGTCGATTCTCAATAGAATAATTTTTGTTCAAGTATTTTTTCATTTGTTGATTACAAGTACTTAGTCGTAATATTAATATCGTAGAAAAATACTACAATAAGATAGTTTAGTCCTTTACTTAACTTGTTTTTTTAAAATGTTGATTAATAAAAAAATTAATACTTTAATTTTTATTCGACTTCAAATATTAAAATTATTGTCCTTCCAGTAAAATGAGCTTATTATATAACATCCTTTTGTAATAGAAGATCTTATCGATTAACTTAAATAATGAAAACGCACGTCAATATATGAACTTCCGACTGCCTTAATTAATTTTACTACATGGTTTTCTGTTGGTAATTGATAAAACTGATGAATAGTCAGACAAATAAAAATGTTACTGCTGACAAAATATAGTAAAATCTTATTAATAAGAAGAGGTTTACTTAATGACGGCCTCGTGTGAAATTTTTATGATTTATTTATTATTTCTCGGATAGTTCTCTATAGGTTTTAGAAAAAAGAAATTCTTCTTATAGACTTATTTCACTCAAGTCAAAATTTTAAAACTTTCTTAATACCAAACAACTTAATTAAGTGTAATATCTCTTAAGATTTACTCTTATAGTCCTTAAGTTCATCTGTAGAACAACTAATTATTTTTAGAAAAATTGTTCTTTAAACATCCAGTAAAGTCTATGGGAATTCCCCACAAATTGGCAACGCCGGATACAATAGTTGTAATTCGCGCGCGAGCCGGTTTTTGTTTGTTGACAAATAAATAAACAATGTGAAGTAATTCCGTGTTCTGAAATGATAAAAACAATTGAAATGAGCGCGTAAACTACTGTACTTCAATGTTGTGTATGTGTATTGTGCCGTCTATCAATAAAATACAGTGAAATCATTGTGTTAAATGTGGTTGGCGTGAAGAAAATAACTTCAATTTTGTAATGAAAATTTTATTTCTTCCAACACAAGTTAGGTATGTCATTAAAATAGTCCTTATATTTATATGATAGGGAATTTATCCACTTTTCTAGTCATATATAACACATTCCATGTAATTATACAGAATAAGGTTTTTTTGTGACAAATTGGATTTTTTAAATTGTTTTTTTGACCTGGTGATTTAAAAGTTTTTTATTGGACAATACGCTCACTAGACAAAATGCTCCCAACAATGTTTTAAAAAAAGCTTTAAATTCTTATCGCCATTTTTATTTTTAAAGAATGACTATGAAGTAGCGAGCACAATTTCTTTTCTTTTTAAAAAGTAAATCTAAATTGAAATTAGCTTGAAGAAGCCTAGAACTTCTTGGAAATGGTTTGTTTTGTGAGTTATTTTGTATATTTAAGCTGTCTATAAATATTTAAAACCGAAAATCGATAACTGTATTTTTATTAAGTTTATATTTTATATCCGATTTAAATCCGGAAAAATAGTTTCATTTCCTATTTATATTTTATACACAAATATTTAAAATTTAGCGAGCGCATTACTTTTATGACAGGTTTTACATCATTTTTCACAATGTATTCAAAGTCACACATTAATTCGCGCTTTCTAACCGATTAAACATTGCGCGAAAAAGTTAAAATATTATATCTAATTTCGCCATGTTGTAATTTTGATAGTTTATATTTTCTAAGCCATTAAACTTGAAATCTAGTAGTATTAAGAGAATTGTGTCTTATGTTTGTAACGCTTTAGTTATTTTGGTTTTAAAATAGCATTGCTAAGAAAACTATCATAGACTATAAATTATTTAAAAACTATCTACAAGACTAAACAAAAACTGTCTACATTCTATAAATGGTCTTGTAGCATTCTAGAAGGATTACTTGTGAAAAAAGATAATCACTCTTAACACTACCTACAGATAGTTTCTCAGAGCACTCTTGTGATCTACTAATAAAGTTGTGCCCACTTTTACTTTAAATTATCTAGAAACCTTCTTCGAGATATCTTGAGGGTATTTGAACTCTTAAAATATTCAATCGAATTAAATTCTATTAGATATCTTATAGTATATATTTAGATATGGGTGTGCTGCTTGGGTAGACCACCTTCGTTCTCGAAAGCAACGAACGCATAAGTATGACCAACTCCAGGTTTTTGTAAAGACAGTGCACTGTTAATTCTTTGCTTTATAATTTTTTTTTGTATTACTTATATTACATAACCGGCAACCTACGTAAATATTTGCACACTATATTAGGACATCCGAGGCAACGTGCTGCAAGAATCATTGAAATTATAGATACTACTGATAATAGATACTACAAAACTGAAAAAAAAACTAAACGTTACGTAACGTAATATTGCATAATAATTTTCGTCCCTTTGTTTTTAAAATCGATCAGAATCGAGAACAGTGTTGCCTAACGTATACATCACTAAATGTTAAATTTGGCCAAAAACATGTACAAGCGGCCGTACCACGAAACGGAA